GGTTTGGGTTTGGTTAGGCTATCGCGGACTATCAGTGTGTCTGCGGATGGGCTAGTGGGAGTTCTGTTTTAAAGGAAATAGTTTGTATACTACCAAGTTTGGACTTGCTTGGTAAGCAATGGGACATGAATGAAGACTTTGTTTGTTGTCAAAAGTGCATATTCTTGATAGTAATATCTAGATATCATTGTGTAACACATTCTCTTGTGAAAAGCATATTACCTAAAGATAATGAAAATGAAAGCATATAGAACATTTCAGAATTTCCTGTAGCCAGGATATTAGCAGCATTAATCAGAAGATGAAAGGATTCAAATGGAGAATGAAACAAAAACATGTTGTTACAGTCTAATTCATGGCAGCACACATGCTTGATGACTTCCTGCGGTCTTTGGAATGTTGAAAGTTCCTCCAGTAATCACTCACAGATTAAGTGATACTCATCTGTCTGTCGAGAGTTGAATGATTGAGTATCCCTAAGTAGCTACATATTTTATTAATAGAGGATACAAACAGTAAAATATTTGTCATTTCTTTCTAGAAAAATACACTTAACAAGCTTAAGGTATATATATATATGAAATTAGATTATTATGCAATGAAAACCACATGACTATGAAGAAAAGAAATAAAAATAATTGCATTATGTCCTGATATAAGAAAGTGATTGACTTAGCAGAAGTTTTTCTTTTCTCTAGATAATGAAAATATACAGGGGAACCACATTAATTCCTGATTGGATTTGAACATGGTTGTTAAACAAAATTAAATAAGTTTATTTTACATCACGGTTTAAAATTTTACTCTTTTATATTTATAATAAGTTAATATTTGTATTGTTTATACTAATAAAAGAAATGGGCCCATTCACTTACAAAATAACAAAAGATATTTTATTCTGTACTGAAAATGCTTATAACAAAGAAATTTAATTGAAACATATATCAATCAACCTGAATTTCTGTGTGTGTGTGTGTATTTTTCCTTTCCAAGTTTTTGTTCTTGCAAATAGAAGCACCTTTTCTTTATCGCACATAAAAATGACATTCCACTTTGTAGAGACTCACTCATCAATATGTCATATGCCTACTATTCAGAATATGCCATTTCCTGTTAGAAAGTCTTGAATGTTATATTGGATCATACATAAATTAGCAAAATGATTTTGGCTAAAGATGCATTTATTCCAGTTGAATTTTTACTTAAAATGTATACTACTCAGCTTCATTAATGTGATCCGTGGCTGATAGCCTACCCTACATACCTTGGACTGAATACTGAACTTTGTACCAGGCAAGAAGAAAGTGAAGGCTGACTCAGGAAAATTAAAAAAACAACAGCAACAAAAACACAAAAATTGGAGTTAAAGATGAGGGGAAAATCCGTTAAACGGCTATCTATCTCTCTGTGTTAAAGCACCAGGTTAAAGTAAAGGAATATTCAAGAGACCAATTAATAAGACTATGAGATTGTAATGTAAAGAATGTATAAACATTCTTTATCAAATGACAGAAGCTGATCTTTTAGATTAAGATGATGTGTTTATTTTACTTTTATGAGATTCTATCTGACAATTCAAATTAAATTATAAGTCACTAATTTTATTTAACATTAAAAATACACAAAAGATATCCTTATGTCAGAAAGCATGTTAAGCATCTAAATATTTCATTTTACAGAGGCAGATGTTTCTATGATTATCAGTGACTTGATATTCTAAGAAAACACAAAGTATATCTGTGACATATAATCATGAAGTGTGACTAGAAAGTAATGTGACTGATTTGTCAACAAGCATACTAAGCACTAAACATCCAAATGAGCATTGCCTTTCCAAGCAGCCACTTTGGGGGATCAGAAAAATTTCAGTTGTACTGCTTTTGCTCAAAACACTTGAAACTTCCTTGGAATTGCTCTCAGAAATAATTCATGAACCATACAAAACTCAGGCTCATTGCTTTATAAATTGTATCTCATACAGAAGTAACTTGTGGCAATGTAGAATCTAGAAAATATAATTTTCTTTTCTCCTTCATTTTAAAGAAAACAAATATTAAATTATTTAATCCACAAAGTAAGCTCCTTACATACATTCATCAAATGAATGTAAGAAGGCAATTGTTTAAAAATCAATTGATACAATTATTGCAAAGAGTGAAGTGTCCTGGGAGTGTTAGATTTCTAATTTTACTGTAACAACTTACCTAGAATTAGTGGGTTAAAACAATGCAAATGTATTCTTTTACACTTCTGAAAGTCAGAAATCCAAACAGTATCATGACACTAAAATCAAGGAGGGCAATTCTTTAATTCTCTGTGTGAAATCTGCAGGAAGATCCAATCTCTGGAGAGTATTTACATCCCTGAGGTCTTGGCCCCATTCTGGCATAATTGGAAACTCGTGCTTCTGTCTTCACATCTCCTACTTCTACTTTTAATTCTCTTTTATAGACTCATATGACTGTAATAGGCTGGCTGGAGTAGCACCACAGATATTCAAGTCCCAATCTCTTGAACCCATGGATATGTCAGATCACATGATAAAACAGATATTGATTAACTCGGGTTAGTCCAAAGAAGTTTCAAATGTTTTAAGCAAAAGCAGTACAACTGAAATACATCTTATCTCCCAAAGTGGCTGCTTGGAAATTCAATGCTCATTTAGATGTTTAGTTCTTCGTATGCTTGTTGAAAAATTAATCACATCACTTGCTTGTCACACTTCATGATTATGTGTCACATATATACTTTCTTTGTGTTTTCTTAGAATGCCAAGTCACTGATAATCATGGAACAGCCCCTGTGAGTTCTGAGAGGAACTCTTTACTAGAGTAGAAAGCTTGTTTTACACTTTCTGAGTGGGCTGGCCTCTTTGACTGGCTGACACAGCACTCAGTAGCCCACTGCATCCCCACTGACAATGCCACTGCACCTCCTTGAACTAAGAGCTGCTGACATTTATGTGCCCAAATAACATCATCTATAGATGGCGAACTTTCAAATAATAAATATTGAAAATAATACAGAATTATTCAGCCTGCAAAAATCATTTATTTCTTCAACTGCTGATTTTATTGTGAACCTTGATTTTAATAAAATGAGCTCTACCTATTTCTCAAAAATAATTAGATGACTTTCAAAGGTATAGAGCATGCACATTAAACAAATAACTGTGGGTTATGGGACGATTCATGAGAAATAGCACACTTTCAATTTTATTGAATTCAAAATATAATTTTTATTAGTTTTGTTCTATAATTTCAATTTAAATGTTTTTGTTCTGTAGTTTTAATGAAAAATAAACTTATTCATGGTGAATATTATTATCACATTAGCATAGTTTTAAAATTTTGACATTTTCCAAAAGGAATTATGTTCAAGATATTATAAAAGTATTAATTCATTACCCTTTTAGCCCCCAGCAAAACAAGTCAAAATATGTTTACTAACTCAGTTTTTACATATCATAAGACCATTACTTAATGGAGCTTGAATTAACAAAATGAATTGTGCTAATTGATGAGATCCCTTCTTAATGATACACTGACTTTTTAGGTCAACATTTCTACTTCTGTCAGTCTCATTAGTCCAGGGCCACTCACGGACTAGAAACCTGGTATTACAGAAACAGACATTTCTGTAAATGAACTAAATGGAGATTTTTTTTTTGGTTGCTAAATCAAAGAGAACTCCATGCGACAGATCTATGCTCTTCTGCCTCAATTTTTTGCCGCCCTGAAATAATTTGCTTTACTAAAATGCTTGTGAAATAGATAAATAGAAGATAGATAGATAGATAGGTAGATAGATAGATGATAGATAGATAGATAGATAGATAGATAGATAGATAGATAGATAGATAGATAGATAGATGATAGGAGATTTCCACCAAACACATTTATTATCTTGAGGTACAAAATTTGGTGCTGCATACATGGGAGTTTGCATACAAAAAATGAACTACAACTAATAAGAGTAATCTATAGTCTTTGTTTTCATAAATGCACACCAACACTTTAACCTTAAACATAACTTAAAAAAAAAATTGCCATCAAGTTAATTCTGAACCACAGAGAGAGACCATGTGTGGTTCACAGCAAAACTGCCCCACAGGTTTCACATGGCTGTCAATCTTTAAGGAAGCAGAATGCCCAAGTCTTTTTCCTGAAAAGCAACTGATGGATTTGAACAGCTGACCTTTTGGTTGGCAGCTGAGCCCTTAAGCACTACAATTTAAGGGCTCCATCTTAAACGTTAGCATTACAATAATATTGGTATAAAATACTGTAAGTCATAAAGTAATTATTAAGAGCATTAAAAGTAATCAAGGGATGTATCTTACTAAACTATATTTCAAAACATGTATAATTCACAAATAAGCATACAATGGTTTGTTCCAGAATATTTAAGTCCTTGGAGAAAATAATAAAATTACTTATACATGTACAGGCATCTAAGTATATTAAAATGATGTCTTCTTCAGATTTTCTAAAAATTAAAGAAAAAAAAATTATTATTAAGACAGACAAGACCTAATGTAAATTTTAAAAGTGTGGGAGTGTGAATGTGTGCATATATACACAGATATGTACATACATTTTAGTTCCATCTAAATATCACTTATGAATTTATTTAAATTTATTATTAACTGCAATTTTTTGTAAGCTGATATAACTGAGCATTAGAAACTAATTTTCAAATGGAATATAATTCAGTTATGCCACAGATCTTAGACAAATGTCACATTTATTCAAAGAGTTATTTGTTACTTAGTCTTCTAAGTGTTTGACCCGTGAAAAAGGCTGAGAATAGTATGATTTAACTATTGAAATGAAAAAGGCTGAGAATAGTATGATTTAAGGAATGCCAATTTGTAACCCAAGGGACAGGTATCTGCATACTAATTGTAATCTTCCTGCTGTCACATTACCTTCAGCTTGAAGATCAGTCAGAGAGAGACACTCGGCATCATCTGTGACAGTCAGACAGTGGAACGAAAAATGCCAGTGAAGTGAGTTGCTGCTTACAGCTGTTTTTATCTGGAAGATGTACAAATGAAACACTGCGTCTTCATCAGTCTAGATGTTCGGTGTCCTTCATCTCTGATCGATATGCTAATTGTTGTCTTTCTGATTTATTTTTTTCCTCTGCTGATTTCTTGTTTTCTAAAATGTGTATACAACATTCAGTTTGCTCTTGCAGTTTCAACTTGCTGAGATAAACAGAGGCAATTAAATGGTGAAGCTCACTGAGTATTCGTCATGTGAAGCATTTTCAAAATTATTAAATACATTTTATACATGATATATGTGTATATATATGTATGTATATAATTCTTGCACAACTTCTTTGTTATTGCAATATTTAACAAAGAACTTAAAGATGGATATTAAATGCCGGTAAGGAAGCAGCTGTCACTGCCTTGAGCACATGGCCTCCTCGCTTGAATTGTCCTTTCTCCAGCACACTGCTAATTGAGTGTGAACGGAACGTTGTTGGGCTCCACATTCGTTAATGCAATACAACTGGTTCTAGCTGGCTCAATTAGCCAGACAACTGGGAGCCTTCATGCAGTTCCCATCTGTCCTGGCTTTTTCTGGACATGTAATATCAGTACTGCTGGCCTGGATGGCACTTGCTTAATGAAGAAAACAGAGAAGACATCATCCAAAACCCTGTGAAATGTTAAGTGCAATTTTTCCTCTGATACATGGTGAATTTTTATGGCAAATCAGACACACACACACAACAATTTCTGATTATGCAGAACAATTTCGTAGGAAATTAAAAATTTACAAATATGAGGAGTCAGACAAACTCCCTATTAGAGTTATAATTGAAATCAAATTAAAAGGTGAAAACTCGGGAATGAGGAAGGGAGTAAATTGTCCATTTTTTAAGACAGAAAAATTTCAGCCAACTCAGTACAGTTCCAACTACTCACAGTCTGCCCCCGAAATTTCATTTAATGGATTGTTTCTCTTGACACCTACATACTATAATTGCATCTTCTGAAAAGCAAGATCATATGTTTCATTGACAGCTCACATAGGAACTATCCTACTTTTATTTGATAAAGTCAAAGTTTTAAGAACCTTTGTATTCTGAAAATTTTAAATCTCAATTAAATAACCAATTGCTTCAACTTGACCCTTTTTTGGAAGAACTGTTTGTGTGAAGTGTGATAAACTCTACAGAAAAAATTACTTATTCCAAATATTCCCAAACATGAATAAAATACAAACAAATCCACATTGACTCATCTATTTTAGGAAAAAGTGTAGGAAGTGTGGGTTACAAGCAGATACACTTATGTTGGAATATTAATGCAGTCAATTGGCACAAGTATAATATTGTTTCAGCTATCAGAAACATTGAGCCACTTTATATTTATAAAATATGGAATGATAAATTAGTAATTTTCAAGATTAAATAAGGTGAAATATGCATTCTATTTAGCATAGTAGAACTACCTAAGACATTGTGCGCATTATAATGCTATTATAAAAGTTATGTTAGTTTTTTCATAACCATCAATAATTTGATCCTCACACAGAATTATAAATATTTTAGAAGCCCCAAATTGGAAAAATGTTAAATCAATTAGCAAACGTTATTTCTTAAAATAGTTGAATTTCAACCAGTTTCTGGAAAGTAAATGCTATTATTATCAACCCTTTGAGCATATCAGATAGTGAGAATTTAATCTAGATTAGAAATAGGTTAGAAGTAGTTAGTAAAAAAATTCTGGGCGTATCATATTGCATTATCTGGGCAGTATCATAGATTAGCTGAGGCATTCCTTCAGAAAGCTAAAAGGCAATTTTTCCTTGTAAGCAATGTGTGGACCTTAATTCAAAACTGGGCTATTCTGATGTCTCTAATTCTATGCTCTAACATATTATAAATCTATATCAATAGAATATAAGGAATATTCCCTCATTAGAAATATTGCTATGTCTTTACCTCTGCATGATCGCTCAGATCTTGCTTTCTTATCAGTTTGTTAGGTTTGACCTCGCTCGCTATGTTAGCGAATGTGCGCTCAGTAGGTATCATTTATCGAATGCTTTCGTTCCAGGGATACGCCCACAGAAAACAAGCTCGTCACTGAATACTTATTTTGCTTTTGCATTAACCCACACCTGCACCTCTAGAAAGAGCTCGACGGTTCGGAAGTCTTTCTCTTAGTTATCCACTGCTGTAAATAGGAGATCACACGTGCCTTGCTTTAACACACACAAAAATGATATTCTCACAATTAGTGAGACGTGGAAGCCTGACGCCAGGGTGCAGCTCTAGCAGCTCGTTCCTCTCTCTGTCGACTCTGGTGAAGGGTCCTCTCTTTTTAGCTGATGGTTCGAGCTCCCTTCGTCAGCTCATCTCATGTGGCCTTTGGTCATTTGGGATCCTCTCTTCTCTAACTCAAAAGGGATTGATTGATGGCATGACCTACCCTAATACTGCCACATGAATGTAACAAGAAAATCTTTTCCCAAATAGGATTTTCAAACCTCTGTGTTGTTGTTAGGTGCTATTTAGCCAGTTAAGATGAGTAGAGCCCCTGTGGACCAGAAGAGAAACCCTGTCAGATTCTGAAGCATCCTCACCATTGTTGACATGTTTCGGGGTATTGTGTCAGCCACAGTGTCAATCCATCTCATTGAGGGCCTCCCTCTTTTCCACTGGTCCTCTACTTTACAAAGCGTGAGGTCCTTTTTCAGGAATCTCGCCTGAGATCATGTCTGAAGTATGTGAGGCAAAGTCTCACCATCCTCCCATCTAAGGAGCATTTTGGCTGTATTTCTTCCAAAATAGACTTGTTCAGTCTAGTGGTGAGGAGTTAGTATTTACAACACGTGTTTGGGGTACATAATCCAATCCATTACAGCCTTGTAGAATGAATGTTGTCCATTTGCCCTACCTCACAGACCTCAAGGTAGAAAAAAGAAGTGATGATTTATGGTTTTCAATTGATGCCTCACATTGTTTTCCTTCCCCCATGCCCCAGCATGCTTTAGGACCTGGAAATTCATGCCTTTCAGCTCTGCCTTTCTCTAACCCTCTTATCTCTCTCATCTACCAGCATTTTGAAAGTGATTGTCCTTCTTCTACTGTAACTTTTAATTCCCTGTTAACAAGGCAACATTTATTGTGACATTTTTAAAACATGTGAACTTGAAGTGGCCATATTATAATTCCAGCACTAAAATTTCTGTTGGACTAGATATCATATGTAATAGAGCATACTTTCTTCCCCATAAATCAGGTTGTATAGTACACAAAACTTTTAAGGTAAAATTAAATCTCACATCGGATCTCATCCCCTATATGAAAGATGGAAATTGAACAACACAAGTATTGTAAATATCCATGAATTGTTTTTTCAGAACTATTACAGCTAATCCTGTGTACCCCAAAGGGAAAGAACATTTGATGGGTGAAAGAACTGTAAGTCATAAAAGAGAGCAAAGTGAGTGCCAGTCACATAGTCCAGGTACCTTTTATTGCGACCACTACAATTACCAGAAAACACAGCTACATTCGCAACAGGAGAGAGAATGATCCTCCATCCTCACAAGACATAATAAAACCTGTAGCAAATTACAGGAAGTCATAGGGCACCGAAGTATAGAGACAATTTCATGCCAGCATAGTTAATATTAATCACTTTGATATTCAAATATCAAATTTTATAATAGCTAGGTATGAGATTCTCTCTGTTTTATTAAAAACAATTTTAATAGACCTTAAATTAGATCATCCTTTTTTAATAATTAGGTCGCTGCACACCACAACTGCATAATATAAAATGTTTCTTTTGTTTTCTGGGCAGCAGGTGTTTTCTATGAATCAGGGCTTATCTCATCAGAATCTTTGTTTATTAAGAGGAACAACATATAATATATTTGCATCTCAGAAGTTCATATCTAAAATCTGATTTATTATTTCTGCATCAAGTCACCAAAAGAATATCTTCTTTAGAATACTTAAGTCTATAAATTTTTGACTGCTTTGGAAAAGATATTAGTCTGTAGTGACAGATGCCTGGATTTAAATAAATCAGCCCTGAACTAGAAGTGTACAAGCCTGGAGAGAAATAAAGGCTGCCTCCGTGTGGGTAAGATTCCTCAAAATACTAGGAATAAACATTTTCAGTATCACCACCTGTCAGAAATTCTTAATCAAATATTTTCCAACTTTCTCAAGATGCATAAATAGATGAGAGTAATGGCACATACATTCATAACATATTTATAATTGAGAAGACATTTACTACTGTTTCACAGAACAATAAGAAATAACTCTCTTGTATCTTTATTATAGCACAAGAATTTTCAAATACCATTCACATTGTCACCTAGATCTGGCACAAGTTTTGGGTGTTGATTATTGATGTTGTTGTAGGTGGCCAAGGCAGGGAAACATAGCATTGTATTGACCTTTGTGTGGTTTGGTTAATAAGGCAAACCTCAACTAGAGGATATAATTCAACAAACACAAATAATCAGATATTGCTAGAGGGAACAGAAGAAAAAGATCATGATGCTATTGTCAAGGGTAGATGCTGTTTCTACAGGTCACCAACCTCAGATGTAATGGCGTGGTCAGAAAACATGGACACACTTTTAACCAACCAAGGTAAGACCCAAGAAATGCTAGGTTGTGAACTACAATGGTAAGAGTTTAGAATCATTGGCATATTGTAAGGTATGGGTTCAATCACACATTTGAAGTATAAGATTCCTAACTCACTCCCTGCCGTCAAGTCAGTTCCTCCTCATAGTGACCCTATAGGACAGAACACAGCTGTCCTTATGGGTTTCTGGCACTATAACATTACGGGAGTAGAAAGCCTCATCTTTCTCCCAAGGAGTGACTGGTGGTTTCAAACTGCTGACCCTAAGGTTAACAATACAACGTATAACCATTATGCAACCAAGTCTCCTCCAAAACAGTTGCATAAATATACACAGACCTAGAGTCTACAAAATTTATTAATTCTATAGATGGAATTCCGCAAATGGAATTAATTTAGAGCTAAAGACAAATTACAGAAATGCCAAACATTCAAACAAATAGAAAATTCCAAATAGCAAATGAGAAGTTGACATTTCCTTGGACTCAACTATTATTCAAAAAACAAAACTCATTGCTCTAAAGTATATTCTGAGTATCCCTGCAAGAGATACCCCTGTGGGTTTCTGAGGCTGCAGGTCTTTTTATTTTTTTCCATTTCTTTCTTATAGCGTCTTTCTAGGCTGTAGATCTTTAAAGCAAAAAATAGTCTCATCTTTCTCTAATGGATTGGCTGGTGGGTTCAAACTGTGGTTACCAACTCAATGCCAGTAGGGCTCCTCCAATCATTATTAGATGCATGCAATTTTAACTTTATCATAAGTTAACAGAAACATACAAATGATTGAAAATCTTAAAGACATGACTTGTTTCATGCTTTGTAGGCTAAAATAAAAGGGTTTTAAAATATTTATTTCAACTGGGTTAATCTTAATTTTAGTGACTACGAAAGTTAATTTAAATGTATATATGAGTATACAAATACATATGGTGTATGTATATATACTTAGTGACGTAATAATAAAGGACTTTTGGTTACTTACAAGTAAAACATCCCAGGATTTGATACAAAATAAATTTGCACACATACTGGTGCTGTTAGTTGCATTCAAATCAGTTCCGACTCAAAGCTCCTCCTGTGCACAGACTAGACCTCGTCTACATGTGTCTCAAGATAGTGACAGGTCCAAAGCAGATGGCTAGTCCTGTCTTCTGAGTCACGTCAGCGTGACGGGACTCGATAACCTTTTGGGTTGTAGTCAAGCACTTAACTGCTTGTGCCCCCCTGAGCCTCAATAATATATGTCATTTACAAATGTATCTAGATCTTTGTTTATGTTATAAATAACCCTGATTTGTATTATTACACATTGGGATGATGAAAGGAGAAAAATTTTATATATAAAATGTTATTTGAAGCATCGGAGGACACTGTCTTTTACCCTCGTGTACTTTGGACATGTTGTCAGGAAGGATCAGTCTCTGAAAAAGGACATCATGTTTGTAAAGTAAGTGGTCAGAAAAAGAGGAAGACTCTCAGGGTGATGTACTGATACAATGGCGGAAAGAGTGGGTTCAAACATCACAATAATTGTGAGGATGGAACAGGCTAGGGCAGTGTTTCCCCCTGTTGTACACAGAGTTGCTATCTAGCAATGAGTTAGAACTGACTTGATAGCATCTAACAACAGCCTCTTATACGGCACAAATAATTTGTACTGAAGTACTGACCTAAATGTTGGCAGCTGTGTTAGTCCGGGTGGACTAAAGAAACTAAATCATGGACACACATATATGTATAAGAAAGAAATTTATAGACAAGAGCAGTTGAATATTGAGGAAACCTCCCAGCCCAGTCCAGATCAAGTCCACAGTCCAATATTAGCCCGTATGCCTGATACCAATCTGTAAAGTCCTCTTCAGACTCATGAAACACATGCAATGACACTGAATGCAGGAAGATCACAGGCCAGTGGGTTGGAAGTCTTCTGCATCCAGTGGCGGTGTAAGCATCTCAGTGCTGGCAGGGTCTATATGTGGCTCCTCCAGTTCCCAGGGTTGCAGTAGGGTGGGTCCCTGTGGCTTCTCCTCAGGTTGTCTCACAGGAAGTGAGCAGAGAGTGACTCTCCTGCCTTCAGAGAGGAAATCCAGGAATTCTCAGAAGGCCACACCCACACAGAGGCCTCATTGGATATGACCGGTTGACAGACTGTACTCCACCCCTTCGCTCTTAATCCTCAAATTGCCAAAAGATTAGATAACTCCCACCGCAGCTCAAACACCCGCAGTAGTTCTGGTGTTCTGCTCCCATACAAATTACAATCCTATTCTGGCTGCCATGAGTCAGAATCAAATCAATGACTATGTTTCTTTTTAATATATTGTACTAATCAGCTTGCATAGTTTTAATTCTAAAAGTAAAGAAAAGAAGAAGAATGTTAGAAAAGTTTATGGTTTATCACGGCAATTCCACCTAGTAAAGACTGTATACCAGACAGCATGAACTGCCCCTGCGGGCTTCTGAGGCCAGCAATCTCTGCAGAAGCAGAGTCTCCTCTTTCTCCAGAGGTGTGGCTGGGGGCTTTGAACTGCTGACCTTTTGGTTTGCAGTCAGAGTGAAACCCAATATGTCACCAGGGTACCTGTTTCTTAGATTAATTTAAATGATTGTTCACCTTTTAGATGGCTAATCCCCAAAGTATCTACCTAAATCTACCTAAAACTCCCAGAGTTCACCAAACAGCATATATCAAAGGCATCCAGGAGAGGGAATTGCCTTGTGACCTAGGCTTGAATAGTGTTCTTTTTGTCTTAAGCTAATATACCCATTGTGACCAATCAGATTCGCTAGAAGCCTCTGAAGGTGTCTCTTTTCACTGTGACGCCACTGGCGACCAAATAGAAGACAGGACGGCAGAGCCAGTACAGAGATGGTGGAGAGGAAGACAGACACGCCATCTTCATAACCCCTGGGATTTGATATTTCAAACCCACATAAAGTGAAAGGAAATTATAGATCCACATGAACAACTGTTCTGCTAGGTGTAGGGAAGTGGATATGTATGCATTATAATATTTTACACAGTTACAGAAGTCACTAAATTACCTAACTTTTGTGGACTTGCATGTACTAAGCAAAGGACATTGAGTAGTTTCCTCCTCTTGCTAACTCACTGTACTTAGCTGCCATTCCACGCTGTGCAAGCTGTCCTCAGAAAACATGGTTTCTCAACGTATACAGGATGTTGTTCCAAAATCATTTTACATCTCTTGAGTTTTCAAATCGTATAAAATCATTGTTCCACAAAATAGTGCGTCCAAGATAACCATCCCTGCCTTTAGCTTTTATTCGGTTTGCTTGGGCCCTAAGCCAAGTGAGGAGAGGAAGAAGTAGAGAATAATTGTTCATTCATGTCAGCGCTTCGTTAAAACTAAAGATAAGGAAATGAAATTGTTTATGAATTTCTAGCTTCTCATCACTATAGGATGTGTTTAGATAATTCTTACAGGTTAAAAATACCATATAATGTATTAATGTATGTCTACAATATTACCAATCATGAATCTGCAATGTTTTTCAGTTTTATTAAGGCATACTTCATCTCTTATTGAAAATTAATTTTTACCATAGATTCTGTTTAGACTCCCTCTCCCCCACAGTTCATCATTATTTGGGACAAATGCAGTACAAATTGGAATCTACTGTTACCAAGAGGGTTTTTATAACCTAAATATATGTCACAGAATATTCTTGGATGCATTTTTAAATGAAAAAAATGTGTGAGTAATTGAATTTTTATATAGTGCTCACATAATGGCATTTTCATTCTCAAATATTTCCACTGGGAATCTTAATTGGTACCATACTACTTGATAATCTTTTTGCAGTAGCGTGTTATTTGACCTCTATTTCAAATTACACACGCCCATATAATTGGATCTGTTTTAAATCCAGTGCTTCTACACTCTTTAATCTTGTTCCACGTTCTCTTGCTATACTTCATTCTTTCTCTTTACTTCCAACAACTCGGCAAATAACTGACAGGCTCCTTCTCCATAAACTTTTACATTTTATTGTCAGTATTTTCTGGCCTACTAGTAATCCAAAAAATTATTTCAATCCTTCTTTGAAAATGGAGGAGGACCCTGGTCGTGATGTGGGATAAACCCAATCTTACTAACCACAATAACCACAAGATTGGCAGTTGAAACACCACCACCCAGCTGCTCCATAGGGAAAGATGAGGCTTACAGCCTGGAAAACGTTAGGATGCTGTTCTGCTCTACCCTATATGATCACTATGGATCAGACCTGACATAACAGCAATGGGCTTGTGTGTTGGATTTTATTTTCTTTTTTTGGAAGTGGAAAACTCTCTGAACAGCTGCTTTGAGTTCATGCAAATAGGGCTTCCATAACACGTGGGGGGGAAACCAGAGCATTTTGGAAGGCAAATCTGTTACAAAAAACACACGTATGTTTTCCTTCTTGGGAGTATACAGCCCACGTATAAGCAGATACCTGCTGTCAGAAAGGTGCAACCCTGATCCTGACTTCCATGGCCCTAAGATACTAAGTCGGAGCCCCGGTGGTGTCGTGGGATAAGTGCTGGGCTGCTAACTGCAAGTCAGCAGTTAGAGGTTACCAGCTACTCAGGAGAAAACATTTCTACTCCCCTAAGGAACTACCATCTCAGAAATCCACAGGGGCTGTTCCATCGGGTTGCTATGAGTCAGCATTGACCTGATCCCAGTGAGTTTGAGGAGTGTTTTTGTTTTGTTGGTTTGAAGATATTGGTTTAATCCATTCAACACAGGAATTCCAATCTGATATCACTGATCTCCTATCTAACTAGAGCACAGTTTCACAAACTTCCTTGGTCAACCACTCTCTTTAGTTCAAAAACAAACAAACAAACAAACAAACAACAACAACAAAAACACCTCAGGTTCCCCCTGACAGTTAAAAACTTGCATTACAGCCCATAAATCATAAAAAAATACTAGGTATTTGTGTTTTCAGCCCCAAGGGGTGTATTACCCACTTTAACAAGAATGGCATTCTCAAATGAGCTCTAGTTTACCAAAGAGAAAATATTTCAGAGCACAAACTGATGAGGTAAGCAAAGAATGAAAAGACTAAATAAGTGATAATGAACTCAAAAAGCTGTACAATTGATGTGCACATTTGGTTGGAAATGAGCTTGGAAGTAACAAATCCTACTTGTAGTTAATAAACCTGTAAAATGTATGTGCTAATTAAGGCAAGTACAAAAATCTGCAGATAAGTGGACCCTAGTTTGCAGCCCTTGGTCTTAAATTACTGAAGAAATGCACGATAGAGGCAGGAAGTAAACTACTGGCACAGAATAAGTCAAAGGAGGAAGAATTTTGTAAAATGTCTGCTTATTTGGTTTTTGAACTTAAAATTACCTATCACCATACAATAGTAGGGCTCATTTACATCAAGTATCTATACCTTCCTTAATTTCTTAAGTGACTTTCTTAATCTTGAGATTCCACTTGGCTAATACCAGCATACAATTATTCCACCAAAACAATAATTAATAGCTCATCCTGCTTTGCTTTAAGGACAAACCAACACATTCTAACTCTTTAACATCAAGTTGGGTTTTTTCAACAGATAATTTAAAAATTTAAATTATTATGTTGAAGTTAGTATCACATAATTAACTGACTGGACCTTGGAGCTTAGTGCAATGAGTCTAAAAGCTCATGGGGCTTCCTGTGGAAAAATGACCATTAAGACCTATCTTCTATAAAACTTCTAGATTTTTCAAATCAAGGGGGAAAAAGTTTCTTTGTCAATGGAGCCAATATACAATGAAAGATGTAAATAATTTATAGTTACAAAGAAAAACAACCACACCTATGGCCATCAAGTCTATTTTAACTTATAGCAACCCTATAGAGAACAGAGGAGAACTGTTCCTTAGGGATTCAGGCACTGTAAAGAGTTACAGAAGTGGAGTGCCCAGTGAATTTGCATCCCAGACCTTTCCCTTCACAGTCCTACATCTGGACAGCAGAGCCCCTAGAGGTCCTTTGTATTTATGATTAAGATTTTCAGAAGTTAGAAATGGAATCATGCTTATGTTTAGAAGAACTGATATACATTTGTTCATTAAATAATAAATGCTCAAAGTGTATAATGTACTCATTTTAGTCATTCAACTGTTGTGTGTGATGTATCTAAATATTTCTTATATGTTTTATAGCTGGTCTAGATGCTTTTAGAACATTTCTAAAGTCAGAGTTCAGTGAAGAAAATGTAGAGTTCTGGCTTGCCTGTGAAGACTTCAAGAAAACAGAAAGTTCAGAAACAATTGCCTCCAAAGCCAAGATGATCTATTCTGAATTCATCGAAGCTGATGCCCCTAAAGAGGTGAGTGAGCCATCCCAAAATTAGAAGATCTGAAATCTTTCTAAATAATAACCAATCACCACTCTAGTATTCAGATGGAAAGTTTTAGTAGATTCCAATTGAACTTCATTAGGATAGCCATCTTATCTTCCTTTGCTGATTTACTGATGAATCATTTATCACTAATTCAGTATATATTTGTGACTCCTGCAATGTTCAAGATATAATCAATATTTCAGTCTTCTTAGTCTGGCATGCAGACTCTTGGGAAAATATTCTACTATCTAAAAGTTAAGAATCCTAAAACACAAAATTTCACTTAAATATGCTGTTGGGATAAAGCTCAGTTACATCTTTCCCTTTAATAAACTGTTGAATTCAGTAAGGTCACTAAGGAGTAGAATTTGTAAACACATATTGAAACAAGAACATTAATATGGGAGGGGCAAATAAAACTAAACTAAAAAAGTAAAACTCTTTATTTTTAATGTGCCAGCTAGACAAATTATGACATCTAATGAGCCCTTGTATTCCAAAGAGGCATTCTGTTTGATGGTGAAAATAAGCCAAACGTTTGAGACGTTGTCTCACATAGTGAGAACCCACTGATGCTGCTTTAAAGTAAAGAACCTACAAAGGACCTCAGAGAAAACCCCAGCACGTGGGCCATCTAATTTATATTTGATAAAACACCATAGCCAAATTCACAATAATCTCCACATACCTCTTGCATGCTCAACTATAAACATCATATTTTGAGCCTGTCTTCATCTAATATATCATGTAGGCAAACTGTTTAAAGCACTAAGTTTTGAATAAGAAGGTACATTAAACTACAAGTATAAACCTTAACCAAACTTTCAGTTAGTAGCCAACTATATAAACAATATTCCCACTCCAAGAACTGCAAAGTATTGGTATCCAAAAGAGCAAAACAAAATAAAACTCATGTCAAGGCAATTCCAACTCCAGCAGCCCTGTAGTGCGGAAGAGAAATGCCTGTGTGGGTCGCTGAGACTGTGAACTTGTCTGGCAGCTGACTGCCATGTTTCCCCCTCAGGGAAGAAGGTGGGGTTGAGCCAAGGAACACTGCACCCCAAGTCTTCTTTCCAAGTACCAATACCAAACCCAAATTCTATAGAGGTAAATCTGATATTGTCATAGATGACCTGGGCCACAATTTATGACCCCCAAACTAGATGCCTGGTATGAGAAGGATGATTTGGCTGAGGGGGACAATGGAGAGAACAGAGGAAATGCAAGAGCCTTGAGAAGATCTAAACCATAAAATTGCCATATCAGTAGTTCAACTTTAAGATGAGCATTAGTTACTGTGGCATTTAGTGGTCTGGTATCGTGGAATAGACATGAGTTACTGAAGCAGGGTCTATACTTCATAGAGGAAAGGTAAAAGAATGTTAACTCCTCAGGAGTGGTTTCAAAGTACACTTCAGAGTCATCATCTAAGAATCAATAAATAATTCCAGAAAATTGAAAATGTAGTATATAGGATTTGTCAAGTTGATTCATGTATCATTCCCTAAAAGGTTTTGAAATTAACCCTAATGTTATGGTGATACTGTTCTGAAAGCCAGATTTTCTTCTGTTGGAGTTCATCTAATTTACTGCAGTTGCTTTAGATTAGTATTATCAAACATATGTATGAAAAGTCTACTAATAAAATATCGAATCTTTAATTATAGCTGAATGCAAAGTTATAATACAAACATTCTTTAATCTATCAATTTTGACAAAACACTATTACTTCCTAAACTTTTTAAAGTAATGACTATAGTGAAATTTCAGCTAAATAGTATAATTTTATTTTAGGAAATAAAGTGTCTGAGTGCTTTTATAATATACCCATTTCATTAACTTTTACTAAATCAAATATAATTGAGATTATAAATGTTTTCCAAAGTAAACATTATCTCTACCATCTCTAATAATGTTTTTGTTAGATATAGTAAGTTCAAAGAAAACAATTAAATAAATATATATGTATGCATACATTTATGTTGGAATATAAATAATAAATATATATATATTTATGTTGGAAATAATCATTTCTTTTAACATTTTTAACATTTAGATTATTAATGAGCACTGGTGTCTTATACTCTTTATGAATTGCTGTCTTCAAGGTATTCCTTCATATCTCATCAGTTATATGCTTTATATATAATACAACTATGGATATATTGGTTCATTAAACTGCCTTTTTGGTTGTCTCTGAGCTCACTGGAGCTGCAGACTGGATGTGATGTTGTTGTTGTCAGGTGCTGTCTCCTTGGTTCTGACTCTTAGCAGCCCTTTGCATAACAGTACTGAACACTGCCAGGCCTCTGCCATTGTGGCAATCCTTCTCCTCGGCAGTCTGCATCTTTCTGCCTTGACTTTACATTTCATCAGGCATAATCTCCTTTTACAGGGACTGATCCCTCCGGATAACATATCCAAAGTATGTAAGACAAATGTCACTATCCTCCTGTTTAAAAAACCATTTTATTGGAGGCTCTTCCAGCGCTAATCACAATCCATACCATCCTCATTGCTAAGGAGTGGTTAGGCTGTATTTCTTCCAAAAAAGATTTGTTCTTCCCTGGGACTGAGTGGTACTTTTCAATATTCGTTGCCAATGCCATAGTTCAAATGCATCCATTCTTCTTTAGCCTCTCATTCATTGTCCGTCTTTCACAAACTTCCCAGCCCAGTCCAGATCAAGTCCAGAAGTGTGATATTAGCCCATATGTCTGATCCCAATCTATAAAGTCCTCTTCAGACTCATAAAACACATTCAATGATGCTGAATGCAGGAAGATCACAGATCAGCGACTGGAAAGTCTTGTAGATCCAGTGGCGTTGTAAGCATCTTAGTGCTGGCAGGAGTCTCCACCTTGCTTCTCCAGGTCCAGGGTTCTGGCTGCATCAGGGTAGGTCCATGTGGTTTTTCCTCAGGGATGTCTCGCAGGGAGTGAGGAGAGAGAGTGTCTGTCTTGCCTCCAAGGAGGAAATCCAGGAGTTCCCAGAATCCTCAGGAGAATTCCAGGCCCATACAGAGAACTCATTGGCTATGATCCAATTGAAAGACTAGACTCCACCCCTTCACTCTTAATCCTCTCAAGTCCCCAACTGACACAAGATTATTTAACTACAACAAGTGTATCAGTCTTCAAAGTGACATCCTTGCTCTTGAACACTTTAAACAGGTTTTGTGGAGCAGATGTGCTCAAAGCTAGTACTGTTTGATTTGACTGACATTTTGCAGAAGTGGTTAACATATAATAAAAAAGTCAAATATATAGTAAGAAACATAATAATAAACCACATTTAAAGTTTGTTATTAGCACACTGGAGAGAATGGTTAAGTCTACCTGGATTCACAGATGTGGTGATACTATGAGTTAAGCACTAGACTACTAACTGCAAGATTGGTTCTTAGCCAGGCACCACTCATGGGAGAAAGAGGCATTCTGCCGCCATCAGAATGTCCAGCCTTGAGAATTCTTAGGAACAATTGTATTCTGTCTTATATAAGGCGATTATAAATGAGAATCAATTCCACAGCAGGGGACATGGCTTTGGCTTGGGAGATTCCCCAACCCTATTTTACAAATGATGTAGGTTTTGAAAAATTAGCCATATTTTATATAGAGAACAAATGAAAGAATATCTTAGAGTGGTCACGGGGGGCGGGAGGGGGGGTAGATACAGAGATACAACACTCCCTCAGTTTTGAAGAGATTGAAATCTTTAGTCTTATTAAAGTGAGCAGAAAGAAAAGAGGAGAAATTTGGAAAAACAGCCTTGAGAACGCTCAAGCCCAGCAGTACAGAGAAAGGGAGGCAGGGAGTGCTCTCTATTTATCTAGTAAGATGTGTCTATGAGTGGCTGACTTAATGTGGAGATTAGAAAACTTAGTAATTTTCCTAAGTAAAAAGATAATTCAAAAATTAATGAGATTTACATGAATATGTTCTTCATTTTTAATATACAATTATAGTTGTATAATTGACTTTCATAAATAATCAAAATTAACCAATTTTCTTGGTAGATGGACTAAAAACAAAGAACAATGATAATAGTCATGTTATCTAGATGCCTATTAATCTCCATTTACTTTATTCTTATCTTATCTATAAAATTGATAGAATGACAATATAGAACTCAATGTAATTAGATAATGTATGGTTAATAATATTAAGTCTATAAAATTATTTGTCTATAAATTGGCATAACTAATGTTTGTCAATTTTCTCCTCTAATAGACAAAGAATAAATACAAAATTAAGCTTACATATCTCTATGAGAAGTTATAATCATTTCACCAAGTCTTGATTCTCTCTCTGTTAATGTGTTATCTTTTTTTCCCTTTGGTCCCTACTTTAACAGGGAGTTAGTTAGATATAATGGAAAACCTAACATTTGGAATCACTTACACTAGGTTTTAATTCTGACTCTGAACCTGTGGTGAGCTATTTCATCTCTCTGAGCCTCAGTTTACTCATCTATAAAATTAGCACAGTAACACTCTTTACACAGAACAACGATAATTAGATAATGTGTCTAGTTAAGGATAATGCAGAATGATCTTTTAAAATCTTAACCTCTGCCATTCTTTAAACAAGTTACTGTAAATTTTTACTAAATCTACCTGAAAGCTACTGCTACATTTGAAAACAAGCAACTCTGAAAAACTTAATAAATGTGTGAACTTCATCACGTGTCATAAATCATCAAGCTCCAAAAAGAGCTACTCACAGAACAAAGTGCACCCAGATAGGTTCAGGAGCTAATAATGAAGGGGAATAACAAGGTGAGAGAGACAGACAGACAAACCCACCAGCCACTCCATGGAGAACATTGAGGCTGGTGGTTACTGTAAAGATTTAGTCTTGGAAATCTTATATTAGGATGCCATGAATCAAAATTAACTTGATGACCATGGGTTGTTTTTGATTATTTGTGTGAGTCAGTGTGTCTGTATGTGTATGTAAGCCAGATATTTTGACTAACTTGAA